TTCAAGGCACATGGGTGCCTGTGCTACCACCTCACAGCAAGAACAGGACATGTTTTGCTATGCCAATGCCCACAAGTGCTCCTCCCCTTAGGTATGAACAGTTTAGCCCAGCAAAAACACCCAGGAAAGACGCAATCACAAGATGAAAGGAGCACTCACACCTCATGTGGAAGTTTATGATGCTTTTGTTCACAATGAACATGAGTCTTTCCTCCTAATGTCAGGCAGTAATTCACTGCTGAGCAGCTGCCATAAAATATCATCACTTTGTGAAAGGAAAGAAAGAGGCAGAGAAAGGATTTCATAGAAATATGTAAGCAAAGAAATCTTGTCTTTCGGACACAGCACTGACCTTGTTATCCCAAATTAGGTCAAAGGTTTTCAGATTTATAGCAGCATCCTAAAGCAAGTCCGGATGGTGGCTGCCTTATGATTTTCTCCTGAAGTTGAAATTTTAATAGTCGGTAAGTTATTTCTAAGTTCCTCCACATCTCCTGAAGACTGTAGCATTTGCATGCCACATTTAGTAGTATACACCTTTAACACTTGCCATCAGAAAAGGGATGCCAATCCCATCTATAACACACAGACACACACACACACACACACACACACACCCCTACAGCAAAAAAATGTAAAAGACATCCAAATTGTCAGCTCCTTACCTCCTTTCCCTTTGCCTCACATGATGTGTGCACTCAAGGAGTGAAATTATGATCATTAAAGGCAAGGTTACAAACAACAGGGACCCATACCTTTCAAACAAAATGAAAAGTCAGTAATTTTGAGAGCAGCTTATGGCTATCTCCAATCTAGCTCCTGGGCCCCTAAAACCCATTGCGAACTCCTTTACTCAACAAACTCCTAAAACCCCTCCCGCCCACTCTGCTCTCTCCAAGCCCCTTGTCATGCTGCAGAGAACTCTGAAAAGCCCTTGATACACACGGGGGATTATTACAGGGCTCAGAGATGCCAACTCTGTAATTACAGCTACCATATGATTTCCATTATTCTCATGCTCTGGGCTCAGCTGCTCCCAAAACTTCACCACAAAGCCTTCCCAGACCCCTGAACTGGTCGTAGCTGGGCCTCTGCCAAAAGGCAGCTGTGGACATGATAACCTGTGGGAAAAGCGAATCGGAGTTATTTCAAGGAAAGGGGTGTGGTGTCCAGTGAGTTATGGATAGTGGGAGTCTATTGTCTAGAAAAAATAAGTAAACAGACGACTTTTGCTTTTTATTATTTCAAACAACAGATGTGGCAGCCCAGCCTTCCTTTCCTAACTCAGATTGTCCCCCTCAGCTGGCTGTGCTGAACCTGCAGAAGTGGTCACTGGGCTTGAGCAAAATTACTAAGATACTGCCACTCACCCCTGGAGCAGAAATTTTGGCTGCCTTGATGGCATGGCTCTCCCCAGGAGGACAGATGGCTCATTCCCTTCACATGACCCTTGTAGGCTTACCTTTCAGATGTTTATGCCTCACCAGGCCCACCGCTGCTCTGGAAATTAAATGTAATGTCCCAGAGGAGAATTGTTCTTAAACAAACCCACCAGAGGAAAAATGAGAAAGGCTAGTGTGTGGCTCAGACCAAGCCTGCCTGGCAGGTGTTGCCTATCACCATCTGCCTGGCACTGTCCCACCTGCCCCACGAAGGTTTCTGATGGAGAATTTGCTCACCCAGGTTCCGGGGGAATCTTCGTTGCCACTCACGGAGACATGTTGTACCGTCCCTGGTAGGGGACATGGTTCCACAGGGTACAGCACCAGCCTCTATTCCACCCAGGGGCACAAGGCACACATCTGTGAGATGACTGTCTCAGGTTCATAGTGTGGCCGTGACCAGGAAACAAGTATTTTTCCCCAATAACTGGCTTTTCTATTAAATGCACTGAACTCTCAATAGTCATCTCACTGACACCATTTTCTAACCAGCTTAGACAATGACAAAACATAAATTCTCACCCAAGGTCTACTCTGTCTTGCCAGCAATTTGATAGGTAGGAATCTTTTAGGGCAATGGAGGAAGTAACTTCTCCATGGCACAGAGACTGGGATCACAGGAGAAAAGAGCCCCAGTACCTCAAAGTGTTGCCTATTATTGAGTCTTAGTAGTGCTCATTCTCCATTAAGAGCAGACAAAGTTGCTCAACAGTTGTTCCATTGTATGAGTTGTTTATGATAACTGGGTCAGTCAGCTTCCTATTATGATAATGAAGCACTTGGGAAATTCACTTATGAAGAAGAAAGTTTGCTTTTGCTCAATTTGGGAGAGTCCAGTCTAAGATCAGCTGGCTCCATTGCTCTGGCCTGCGGTGAGCCAGCACAACATAGCAGGAGTGTGTGGTGGGGTAAACTCTCTTATATCACGAACCAGGGAGCAACAGAGGAAAAAGAAGACTCTAGGGTTCCACAATCCCTTGCAAGGGTACCCCCCATTGGCCTCAGGACCTTCCAGTGGGCCCCACCTCCCAAAAGTTCTACCATCTTCCAATAGTGCCACTTTGGGAGCCAAGTTTTTAACACATAGGCCTTAGGGGACATTCAGGATCCAAACTAAAACATTAGTGCCTTTGGGATTTAGAACTGACTTTTCCAGCAAACTGAAATCACTGAGTAATAGCAAAAACAGAACCATCTAAACAACCAACAGGAAGGTCCACCAGGTCCATAACTGCTCAGAAACTTCTGCAGCTCTTTCCTTAGTATGTACTAAGTGTCTTTGAACACAATTTCAGCAAATTTTATTCTCTGATTTCCTAGCCCACTGAGATATAGAAGCTTCAGACTTATGGAGGAGCAGAGGCGCAAAAGCTGACCCATGCTCCCCCAAGCAATAAGGAAGTGATGAGCAAGGACATGCATTAGAAGAAGAACCAGAAAGGCTGTAACAATCAGACACAGGAACTGTGGGTGGACAACACACCCATGCTTTACAGCACACTCTCTAGGGGTCCAAGAATCTCAGTTGAGTGTGTGAGTAAATATCATAAAGAGACACACCAGCAAGAAACAGTTCAACCAGCCATCCCTCTGTTGGGTATCTTTCCAAGAGAACTAAAAGAATCATATCACAGAGAAGTATGTGCACCCATGTTTATAGCGGCACAGTTTGTAATAGCTAAATCTTGGAAACAACCTATTTGCCCATCCGTTGGAAACTGGATAAAGAAGTTGTGGTTTTTCTATAAAATGGAATATTACTCAGCCATAAAGAGCGAGAGAATAGATTCATTCATAGGAAAATGGATACATATTGAAGATATACTCCTAAGTGAAATAAATAAGTCCCACATGTGTAAATACCAAATAGTTTCCCTGGTGTGAATATTCTGCAACAATGCATAAGATTCTAATAAGATTACTGACATTTAGAAATGGGAGGAAAGGAGCTAAAGGTGTAGGGAAGGTGTGATACGTAGGGGAAGAACAAAAAGGGAAAAGAAAAAAATGTGAGAGAATGAAAAGATGAAAATAAAGTGTTTGTAGATGGGGAGGGGAGGAGGGGGTGAAGGGAGGGCAGAGGTAAGGGGAAAAAATGAGAATCAAGACTTGCCATGTAAAGGTACAAGATCCCAACAATGAATGTAACTGTACTGTATCCCTAAATGTACCAATAAACTCAATAATAAAAAAAAAAGAAACAGTTCAAATATATTTACTATATCCTTTGAAGAAAGGGTAGGGACCTGTGAAATATAATTCTTGAAGATATGTAGACAATGAGAAAATTATTTTCCAGTTGTGACACTGAAGGCAGTACACTAAAATGAGGTGTATCTCTTCCTGGGTACTATGAGAAGCTGAGTACTATAAACAGCATCCTCACAGAAGCCATGCTTTCAGCAGGGCACATGGTTTTCTCTTCTAAATATTACTCATATAATCACTCTAGGTGCACATTCCCCATTTATACTGCTCCCTGCCTCTCACTTTCCACACTGTCACAATCCAGACCCATAACCTGTGCTGGGAACATACTAAATCCAGAAAGAAATTATTGCTGGGCTGTCACACAGTAGGGTAGTAAAATACACAGAGCCTTCCACAATTCCACAGAATATTTCCCTCCACCATCTGGAGCTGATGCCCAGAAATGCAGCACAGAAAACATAGGGATCAAGCCTCAGTCTCTATCAGGCAATGCCTCTTCAGTTAGTCTAATTCACACAATGTCCAAAGAATCCCAAAGGAAGCCTAAATAAGACAAGTAGGAGCTCCACATGGAATCAGCAACAGTGCCTAAGAAAGGGCTGAAGTGCAGGTATTAGCCAACAGAAAATAGGACCTATAGCTTACAGTCTTAGACTCTTAATCCTGATCAAGGAGGACATACTATGGTGCCTGCTCCATCTCACTGAGATGAGAACACTCCAAACACTGCCAGTGGGCCAAAATCACCCAGTGCCCCAGGAGCCAACCAAATTCTGGGGTACAAGGAGGACAGGCCAGATCCTCAGACCACACTACTTCACTTTACCTTCAGCAATTTCTATGCTCCTATGGCATCTATGGTTCCTTGACCCACAACTTGGCTCTTAGCTCCATTAGAAATTCTAGCAGGTCTGCACATTCCTCCAGCTGTTCCCTGAATGGATACCAGATGGATGCACCAGCCAGAAGGGTGGGAGTAAGAGGAACAGGTATGTCCCCAGCCCTGCCTTCCCCAACTGCTAGACCTAATAAAGCCCTCACCTTAGGGCTTAAGTCTCAGTTGAACAGACTGCACCATTTGGAATAACCTAATGAGGCAGGGCTAACACCTCTCCCATGCATAGCAGCTCTAGGAAAAGTGAATGTACAGGTCATGGAGCCTGATTCCCGTAACAACCTCAGCACAAAGGCAGAGAAAAGACATTACATCCACTGCAGCATATCTCAGCTTAAATAAGTCCTCGAAGCCCACAAGTTTCACAGCAATAATAAGCCATGAGACAACAGCCATCACCGCAGGGACAGATTTTCTTTACAATCATTAAAACAACTGCACCTCATTCCTACCTTCTTCAACTTGCCGCTCTTGGTGCCCACGAAGGCCAGAGAGTGATTCTTGTAGACATATGCGATGACGGAAGTCATGCGGTCCCTGTCCTCTGTGAAGACGGGAATGCCTCGCACCATCTCAGACACTCCCAGCGGGGCATTCATATCCAGGCCACAGAAATTATCGTCAATGGTTAAGAGCTGAAAATTAAAGGGGAGAAAAATTAGGAAGGAGCATCAAGGCAGATGGCAGGGGTATGGAGTCAGGGAACTCTAGAGCTAGAAGAATCTTCAGCAATGGATCCTCTGATACAAATCCTCCCCTTTGCATATAGAAACCTCAGTTTCAGAGAGAAGAGGTAGCCTGTCCATAGTTATCTAGGTGGATAGCTGCAGGACTATGGCAAAAAACACAGATTCTGAGAATTTCTGTTCAGCAGACTCCCTTGAGCCCTTGGCCATATGTCAGTCCTTCCAAGGAACCATCTTGGTGGCTTTGATTGACCATTGTTACTGTCACCTAAAAAAGCAATGATCCAGCACCTGCCAAGTATGGGCTCCAGACAGCTTGGCTGAGGCACAGGAGAGAAATGGTCTTCACACCTGCACTCTCCTGTGAAGCAAACATCCAGTGTGGACTCCAAAGAGTAAAATTACGACCAGATGCATGAAAGTGAATCACAGGATCATGACAAAGGCCATGGACAAGTGGCTGGTGAAAGGAAAAATCTCCATTCATCAGATCTTAAGCAGCTACTATCGAGTCCACTCTTGGTATCCCTATCTGTTAGAGCACAGAAAAAAGAGCAGTGTTAGCTTTGTTGCGTATACACTAGCATTTCCCAAAGTGCCATTTGTGGAACCCAAGCTCCCCAGGATGCTCCACATAAAAGAGTTTCTTTGGTAAACTCCTGGAAAAATGTCCTAGTCTATACAGGAGAGCCATAATGGAAGTCTTTTTAAAAAGAAGTATGTTGAACTTCTTTCAGCCTTTCCCAAATAGTTCATCCCCAAATCTTTCTTGAGCAGAATACCTGTCAGCATTCCCTAAAGAGACTGCTCTGGAGATATCATGTAGGATGCAACAACCCAACTCTTCTCCTAATTCCAGGAAGTACAACCTCAAGGGGTCAGGAGCCTGCAGGGAAAGCTTCTGGGCCAGTTCTTTACAATGTCTTCAATCAGTCTCCCCCTTCTCTGCACCAGATCTCCAGCTTCCAATGTAATAGCCAGATCCGCATGGAAAAGAGGGGTCCCTGCCCGATTCTGTCAAGCCAGGGAGTGTGCAGACTCCTGTGGTGACTGGAGAGGAGCCTCTATCATTCCTTACCAAGGAGAGAGGCCTCATCGGGAACTTATTGGACTTTCCACCCTTTCTTGGAAGTACTGTGGGACCTCAGAAGAGTTACTCTGTCTTTCTGGGCTTTTGTTTTCCACTCTATAAAGGTGAAGGAAACAATCCCTGCTTTTCAATGAGCTACCATAAACCCTATTGAGCTCAGGCCTATAAAAATCTTGAACCTGTCAGAGAAAGAAGTGAAATAAAATACAAGGTGTCATTTTTTTAAAGACTTCAATCCAGCCAAAGCAATAGGCATCTGGAGAACAGGAGGCAGGCCCTTGCCAGCACAGCCATGTGAAAGTGGCCAACTCAGCTCTCCAGGGCCTAGGGCTCCTTTGCTCCATTCCAGAAACAGAGGGGACAGGCGTCATTCAACTCAGGGAAGGGGATATGTTGAGCATCAAAAGCTTTCTCTAATCCCTGCCTTGCTTTTTCCCATGGTAGGGCAGTCCTGGTGCATGGGGGTGAGGATGGGAAGGCCTGAGAAGGCAGGCCATGTGCCCAGACAGCAGATGTCTGCTTCATGCCTTTGATAGCCTCTGGCTTCTCCTACATCATCTGGTCCAATAGCCCAGAACAAATGCAACTCTCACCTCTCCCACTTACCACAGGAGTCAAGCTTAGGAGGAAGTTTTGAGGTCTAATCTGATGTTTATCATTCATCCCACAATGAGGACATGGGGAAGGAGACAGGTGGTAGAAGGGAATGGGATGAACAGAAGGCAGGAATAGAAGAGTCAAATTAGGGAAGGTGATGCCCATTCCTTGTTGTTAATGGGGCCTAGGGGAGGGATATAATGGCAGCATCCTAACATGTATGACCAGGGAAGCCTAGGGTGCTGGAAATTCTCTTGGCCCTTGAATATGTGCTGCTTTTGGCTCACAAAAAAATCTATACTCCTAAATTTCTGGAGACTAAACTGTGCTTCAGGAAATATGCCATCAGCAAACTTTGTACTTTATCCATTATAACCCATTTTCCAAGTTGAAGAGACAGAATAATTTTCTACTCTGAAAGAAGGAAACTGAGGCAGGGAGAAGCACTACATGTTGCAGAGTCCCGCACTGTCTCTCACAAATGCACACTCCTCATTAACATGGGGGTGGTCAGCCCTCCAACCCCCTGAATTGCATTTTTTCAGTTCTCAACATAGTTTTTCCCTTGGATGGTCAAAATGCAAGCAAATCAACAGCCACCTACAAAAGGATTTGGGAAACTGCATCACTGAATCATGCTTACTCTGAGGCAGAAAGTCAGTGACCTGTGAGGCCCTTTCCACATGGCACCTCATGCAGTCAGAGTTTGGCTGGGGGATATTTTCATCAGAAGGAAGCGAGGACAGCCCTTCCCTGCAGTCTGGGAATGGGGCCTGACTTCTTCCCCACCAGGGAGGCAGGGGCTTGGTCTCCTCAGCTGTACTATCATCCAAATCCTTGCCTACCTCAGCTTGTCACTGAACTTAAATGAGGCAAGAGATGCCGCTGGGGCTCATAAAGTGGCATCAGGACAACATCTTTCTTCCCAAGCTTCCCATGGCTGTTTCCCCTTCCCAGTGGGGCTGCAGGAGATGAGGATGCGATCAGGGCATGTGAGTGAGCACAGCCCAGGACTGTGTGGATGATGAGGTCCCCCTACTGTGTCAGGAAGTGGCTTTATTCCTTTATTCCTCAAAGCTGGGGAGATGGGGGTAGGACTGGTGGAAACGTACCATGGGACAGTGAGGTGACAGAAAAGGCACCTGTGAACAGGAAGCACTTCAGCAATGGAAGACATTGCATGTTGATTTCTAGTGGAAATCCTGCCCAGAACTAGAAGCAGAGTGGCTGCAGGGAATGGCCCCACTTTGCTGCCTGAGCTGCAGCCACAGATAATGACAGCATGGGAAGAACAGGAAGGACCCTGGGGCTGGCATATCCAATAGGCAAAAGGAGAAAAAGTAGATGCTGGGCCATCAGGCTTTTAGCGAAAGCCTCAGCAGGTGAGGGTGTGGATTCCTGAGCACCCTGGGTGATGGAGGTGAGTGGCTGCACTTGCCCTGCTAGAGTCTTTCCCTGGGCCCCATTAACAGCAAGATGAGAGCCACAGCCAGAGGAACCAGGACTGGACATGGCTGTAAGCAGGAGCTCAGCTGCATAGGCCCAGGGCTGGGCTCCCCTTCAGCCAATCCACAAATACCCATGGGTGAGCCATGGCTACCATCATGATCCTTACTAATTAGAGAACAACTCTAAGGAAAGCACCTAAGGGTCCGCTGCATGGGAACAAATGGGTGAACACTTGGGGAACCTTGTCAACAGAACAGCTGGGTTCCTCCTTCTTCTATCAGGAGGCTAATGTGTATTTCCTTTCCACTTCCTCAAAGTCCTCATGGAATGCATGGCAATGGTGGGATAAATTAAGATGGGTAATCCACTGTACTCCAGGGACCATGAGTTCAAAGATGGAGATCATGTTTTATGTACCTTCGTATATTTAATTTCATGCCTGGTTCATAGCAGGTTAAGAAATATGTTGAATAGATGGACGGATGGACGGATGGATGGGATGGGATGGGATGGGGTAGATGAATGGATGGAATAGATGGATAGGATGGATGGATGGATCAATGGCTTAATGGATCAATGGATAGATCAATGGATAAATAATGGCTAGAAGGACAGATGGATGGCTAGATAAAACCTGGTTTCACAGTGAATAACTGTAGAGCTAGGTTTAAATCCTGTCTCTGTTACTTATCTTGTGTGACCTTTTGAAAGTCAACTTAAGCTCTCTATGCCTTAGTTTATCATCTGTAGAGTGAGGATTAAAAACATAGTATATACTCCCTAGTGCTGTGGTGAAAATTTTAAAAATTAATACATATAGAACAGTGTCCACCAATTAGTAAGTGCTATGAGAGTGTTAGCCTTTATCACTGTACATTACCATTAGAAAAGTCAGGTAAACATTGTGAATCTGGGCACCTGAGGAAATCTATGCTATCCATCTCAACAGTATTATCAAGGTTAAGGGGCTGATGTTGTCAAGATGAAATAGCAAAGGGGATGCTTTTTAAAGATCGGTCAAGATGAGGTAGATGAAGGAACAGAGGTGTAATCATTTAGATCTACAAGACAGAGCACTGCTCTTTAGAACAAATCCTAATCTGGGGCCCCACCCCATGCCCCCCAACTACATCAGAAAGTCTGGGGCCAAGCAGAGCACCTGTGTGAGGAGGTTGGGTTCAGGAAGCCTGTTCCCCCCTCCCATGGTGGGCCTTTCATAACCGAAACCACTAAGGAGTAAAAGCCCCGGCAGGACCTGGGTGCCAAGGGATCCTGCACACAGCCTCCCCATGGCTAGCTGAGCAGCGGTGGCTTGGTGAGGTGGTGCGGGGAGCTGGAGCTGACACTCTGAATTACAATCTAATAGCTTACGGTGCTTCCCTTGCGCACCGCAGCAAAGGTTACCGTGCAATTACGTGTCGCTACATACAAATGACAGAGCAGTTACGGTTACTTTACCAATTACAGGGAAATTGCTCCCACTCTGCAGAGAGACTGGCACTCTGAAAAGCTCTATCATCTCCACAGAAAGGGGATTTTAAATATTGCCTGTGTCCTTCCTCTGCCAGTGTCCCCAGAGTTGGGGGCAAAGTAGCAAAGTAGCCACCCAAGAAGGCCAGAAGTCTCATGGTGTCTATGGAGACTCCTTGGGAAGAGCTAGAAGACAGGGTGGACCTAGGAGCTGGATACCTCTCAGCATCAACCCCCAGCTCCAGACCTCAATGTCAAGCTCTTAAGGAAACATCCATCACTCTGACCACGGACACCTATCCATCTTGAAGACCACAGGGGATGAGGCGGGGTTGGTGCCTGA